TCTCTTTTGGCTTGGTGCACTGCTTATGGGCGTTTGGGGGTCAGCTAGGTGATGACAGGATCTGTGGTAGATAAAACTTGAGCTTGGAGAGATATATGAGGTAGTAAGTGCAATAAGAAGCTTTAATTGTCTGTTGGCAAACTTTTGGGTTATCTAAAAAAAGAGAGAATTAGAAGTGCATTTCACGATATAAAATCCAGACCCTTTGTTTTCTCATGGATCATCCTACCTTCGCTAAGGATTTAAGGGATCTTAGTGACATTTTAATAGATTTGCAAAGCTATTTATATCTGACTTGCAGCCTCTTGGTGCTGATGCAGGCAAATTAGGATTAATTTTCTGAGTTAAGAATTTTGGGATAAAAACTTAAACATCACACATAGGATCTTATACATCATATCTGAGAAGTTTTAAACATCATATTTAAGGATTTGATTACATCAACAACTAGAATTTTGAGAAACTCCAACAGTATTCTATTGAATAACTGCAAGAACATTATAAAGGTATTTCTAAACTGCCAAGCAAGTCTTTCTTGAATAGGAATAGACAATGAAATACCAAGACTAGTAAGATTAGAAATACTACTGATAACATAGGAAAACTGATAATAAGATTAAAAATAATATTACTAATACAAAATGAAAAACTAAATAGAAATAAGAATAAAATCCTAAAATTAGTAAAACTATAATAATATAGACTTCTAAAAATATAGTAGTTTTCTATTTAATAAAATCATATTTTTAATGTATTTCAGAAATTTAAACTAATCTATTCTGCATCAGTACCTTGTTAATATATATTTCTTTTACTTGTTAAAAAAAGAAAGACTTCTTGTATATCATACATAAGAATTTGTAAGCATTATTTATCGATTTGATTACATCACACAACTAGAAAATCAAAAACATTCTCACATAAGTCCTTATTGAATAACTGAACTGTCTAAGAAGATGAGATTGTGAAGATATTTGTTGTCCTTCATAAATAACATTTCCCAAATAGGACCAAATTAAGAAACATTGATTCTAATAAGAATAAGAAAACAAATTACTAAATCGAATAAAATCCTGAAGTTCATAATATTATAATAGTAGACTTCCAAAATTGTAGAATAGTTATACATTTAAAAGAATAAAATCCTAAAGTTCATAATGTTATAATTTTTTTTTTAAATACATAATGCTTTTTTTAAATAAAAGTGTAAGATTGTATTGATTAATGGTGTCAAGGGGCACCGTCCGTATACAAAAGATTAAAATACATAATGTTATAATTTATGTTTAGAAGTATTATAATAAACGGTAAGTTCGTTTTGTACTTAATAGATTATAATTTATAACACATTTGGCTAATCTAAATCTAATCCATTTTGCATCATTCTCACTTGGTTGGAGAAAACTCGTGATCAAGTTTTGAAGTAGCAAAGTATCAAGTAGAAAGATCTCACAGCTTTCCAAAAAAGATTTAATGAACTTTAAGATTGATTGTTCTTGTTAAAAACAAAGATAATACAACACTCAAATGTTTATTGGTATAAAGTCCTTGTGATGAAATAAAATCACCATGACCAATTTGTGTGTCAAGTTTTCCTAGCAGGGAACTTCCTTGGAGTTGTCCTCTAAGGAAAGATCTTGAGCAATCTCAAAAATCTTACTATCACAAGCTACTATTGGTGATTTTTCTTCTCGCTCCAGTAGATCCTAGAATTGAACTGTATTAGTTCCATCTTTCCATCTCTCCATCAATTTCATTTACTGTTGACTCCCAGGGATGTCAATATTTATGCATCTCCGTTGTAATAATTATAGGTTTCAAAACCACGTTTTTTATGTCAAGCATAACACGGTAAGTATTGGTAATCTCATCATGCTGAACACATCAATAATAGATCTAAGACTGACAGAGAAGAATAAGCATAAACATCCCAGGAACTACGTCACAAGGATTGAATCACTGCAGGCAGCATAATTAATAGAAGGAACAGTGAGTTATTATTATCCCCCCAAGCTATTCTGTATTGCATGCAATATGTTTGCACTGGAGTCTAGATATCACCACGCGCAATTGGTGAAAGGCATTGCAAGACCATGTTAAAGATGAGGAAATTTTTATATGAATGAATCATCATGCCATTTGGCCACCGTATTACACTGCTAATGAACAATGATTTTAGGCTGACCATCAAAGTTTACCAATATGACATAGCAAATATAATCTAACGTTCATCCATTCACATTTCAACAACTTTGCTCAAAAAAAGGAGAACAGATGTATCATTGAAGAAAATTTTATGCATGTAATGAAATCTGAAAATGATAAGAAAAGCTGCATGCAAGTGGCAACTATATCCAAAATTTTACAGATTGATGAAAACCTGAGCCACCATTCACAAGATGATGAACACTAACCGTATGGAGGTTCCTCGGCAATAATTACATCAGTGTCAATATTGGCATGGATTATATGACCATCTGTGCTGCGCCGAACAGTTCCTTTTATACCCATTAAGCAGTGTTCCTTCACCATAATGACAAGTAAACAAAGAGTTTAGCAAACAGCAAATTGTTTAGAAGGACAAGTCGAAAGGCAAGATTGAAGTAAAAGACGTCCATGGTCGCAATTTTCAAGACCTTTGAATGCTGAAACAAGGTATGAGAATCATGTCTCAAGCCCGGTGTTGCATTACTTTTGTTAGTCTTAACCCAGCAAATATCCTCACACCTTCTAAAACCCCACTGCAGCACATAAAAGCTCGATAAATTATAGAATGTGGAAAAGCCTACAAGAAGCTAGAGACTACAAATGCAAGCCCAACTCAACTTCCGAACTTTTGTAGGCTGTTAAATATATACCTTCTTCAAACACTGACGACCTTGTTCAAGGCCCACACCATCACCAACCCACAAGAAGATAAAAGAAGGAGTATCTGCTATGGCCTGAGAACATAGATAAAAGAAGCAGATAAATCTTGAGTTTATAAAGAGTAAAGAATAGCATCTAACAAGAACCATAAATATGGAAGCACTATTATCCATGTTCTTTTTTGTTAGTATCAAAACCTAGATACAAATATAATAATTACATATATCATGTCATCTTAAACTGAACCTGAAATATCAAGTGACTCATAAGTTAGTGCTCAGAAATGGAAACATACACAAACAAAATAGAGAATAATTGATTAGCAATCAGGATAATTAGTACTTATGAACAAGGTAGTGCAAACAGAATGATAGTTTTTAACTTAAAAAGCTAATAAAGTAAAAGAGTTGGAAGATATATTACCTCAATCTTCAGATTGAGTATTTCTTCAAATGTCCAGTATTCCATGTGGTCAACAACACCAGGTGCTCGATGAACATATTCCTCCCAAGGGGGGTCAACGAGAATAACATCAAACTTGGTTCCAAATAAATCAGAGGACAACTCAACTTCTTGCAGGTCACACTTTAAATACAAGGGAGGAGAAGCAGATTTAGATACAATCTCATCTTTTTTCTGAATAAGCTCCCTCAGCTTGGGATAATCCTCTACATTGGTGAGCTCCAATTCCCTGATGAAATTTTGCGGCCGCATACCAGTGTCCACAAAATTCTGAGAGTAATCATTCTGCTCTCCTCTGGAAGGTGCTTTACCAGGAGGTCCACCTGTCCTAGGAGGAACCCACCCCACTGAACTCTTATCAGATTGTGTTCCACGTCCAATTGGTCCAGAAGTGTTAAAACCAGGCCCAGATATGCTGGAAGGTCCCCCTCGTCCAGGGCCTGATTGATTGAAGAACATTCCAGGGTTTGGTGGAGTTCCTATATTAGAGAATCTTGGACCAGATGGTCCGGGAGGACAGAGAGAGACCAGCGGAACACCCAGCATTTTTACATCCATCCCACGTGC